CTCACTTCTGTCACAGATCAATGAGAAACCAAAGGTGAGGCACTCTACTCCATATAGTCACTCAGGGACCCAAGCCCTTTCCCTAGTGGCTGTGTTATCTCATAAGGCATGGAATCCCCCACTGCATCCTCAGTGTACAGCCAGCATGATGAAAGACCAGAGAGAGTGACAGATCGCAGGGTACACTTTTAGGAACCAGGACTAGAGGTGGTGTATGGCACTTTCACCTGCATCCCACTGGTCAGAACTGAGTCACCTGCCCCCACCGAACTACAAGAGACGCTGGGAAATGTAATCTAGCCAGGTGCCCATAAGGAAAAGGAAATGGAGGTTGGTGAACACATAACAATCACCTCTCAGCCTGGAGTGCTCGTTCTGCAACGTAACTCCTCAATAAGTCCCATATCTTGAAGAATTTCAGCCTTCTCTCAACCAAGCAGCCCAACCACAACTGCTCAACCTGCCCCTAAGAATCAGCTTAATGACATTGACTCTCAGATAATTGCTCGTCTTCATTCATCCAATAAACAGTTACTGAGCACTTAGCATCATCCACCAGTTATTATGATATATACCAGAGATGCAGAGGCAAGTAAAAGGTGGTCCCTGCCCTCAAGAAGATCCCATCTTGTATGACCTCATTCAAACCTAAGGAAAACATTTACTATATTTTTATCTCACCATTTAAAACCCTTTTCTTGTTTGGGTGCCGTCGCTTACGCCTATAATCCCAGCAGTTTGGGAGTCCAAGGCGGGAGTATCACTTGAGGTCAGGAGTTTGCAACCACCCTGGCCAACATGGTAAAACTCTGTCTCTACTAAAAATATAAAAATTACCTGGGCGTGGTGACGAGTGCCTGTAATCCCAGCTACTCAGGAGGCTGAGGCGGGAGAATCACTTGAACTGGGGAAATGGAGGTTGCTATAAGCCGAGATAGTGCCACTGCTCTCCAACCTGGGCAACAGAGCAAGACTCCACCTAAAAACAAAAAACAAACAACAAAAAAAACACCGGGTTTTTTTTTTTTTGGATCAAATATATAGGAAGATGCCTAAAAAATAAGAACCTCATGCAAATGTTAATTGTTTATTATTGGGGAACAGGGAGTATTCTCCAGGGCATGGTCTTGGCTCCCCAGTACAAGAAATCATGCCTCTTCCTTTGCCAGTTAACTCCTGGAATTAACCTCTGCCATGCTCCTCCCAGACTGACACATGGGGAAGGCTGGCATCTCCATGTTTTTAGCCTCTCTTCCAGTTGCCTGGTAAAGTGTCTGGCTGTGGATCTGCTCCAGCCCCCCAGCAGCCCCGGGGCAGCTACCAAGAGGCCCAGAAAGCAGGTGTTTATCTCCAGAACCATCAGGTGTTCCATGATGAGGTCTGAGGATATATAATGGTGGTGTCTGGTTTCCTCACTCTCCAACCAGGCACCACAAATGAAGAAGTGGGTAGAGTCTGTTGTGTGTACATCAAACGTGCCCCAGATACTCTTCAAGTAGAAATCCATCAGGAGTTTTTGATTGTCCAGCATTAACTCCCTCTACCATCTAGGACAACTCCCCATTTTGCGATATGGGAGAAATGCAGTCCCTCCCTATCTCCAGCCACCTCCAGAAATGGAAATGAGGAGATTCTCTTTTTGGCCTCCACCACACCAAGCAGGCCTGGGCACATGACCTAGGCTCAGCCAATCGGCCATTCCTACCAGGGATTTTAAGACTGGAATGAGTGACCAAAGCAAAGGGCCAGTTCAGGGGCATTTGAGGAAGAGGTGGTAAGTCTGATGGCAGTGGTGACAGTGCGCTGGGAGCCTGGAGCAGGGAAAGCAATTTGGGGCCAGGCTGACCCAGTTAAAAGGCCTTTGTGCTTTGCACCTCACTCATGGCCACTTTCCAAGCCTGCTTCTCTAACCCCCATCAACTCTGTGAACCCCTGATGGCCTTCCTATAATTTTCCTTTTCCCTTATAGCCAAAGCCTCTTACTGATATGATGCCAAACCACCTCTGAGTCAAGTCTGCATGGGAGGGAGCACACAGACAGACCAAAATTGCCTATTCCAACCCACCTCCACACCTGGCCTAAACAAATCCATCCACCTCCTGTCCAACGAGGGCTCTGAGAGCTCATCTCCAAGCATCACAAGAACTGACAAGAGGCTGCTGCTGTCAGAGGTCAGGGTCAACTCCAGGAGAGAAGTTGAGGTGACGATGCTGTTCATCTGTGAAAGTCTCTAAAAACAACCCCAACAAGATCCAGCAGAATTTCAGAGGACTTCAGGCTCTTCAGAGCATGGGCTCTTCAGAAGCAGAAAAGCTGAAACTCTGGTTACACTCAGTCCTAGCATTAAAGAGGGCCTCTTGGTTACTGGGGGCTAGTTTAGAGAAATTTTGAAACTCTTTTTTACATCTCCCAAAGAATACAGAAACCCATTTTGAATCCTTTAATGTAATGTGACAGTTTATGTTAGTCCATTTTCTGATGTTGTAACAATATCACAGACTGGGTAATGTATAAACAATAGAAGCTTATTTGGCTTATGGTTCTGGAGGTTGGGAAGTCCATGAGCATGGTGCTGGCATCTTGCAAGGACCTTCATGCTGTGTCATCCTATGGCAGAAGGTGGAAGAACAAGTCAGCATGCAACATAGAGAGAAGGAGGGAGCAAACTTATCTTTTTATCAGAAACCTACCTCCATGACAACTAATTCACGCCTATGATAAGGCACTAATCCATTCATGAGGGCAGAGCCCTCATAACTTAATCACCTCTTATTAGCCTCCCAACAGTGTTGCACTGGGGATTAATTTTCCAACACATGAGGTTTGGGGGACACATTCAAACCCTAGCAGATGTTTGTGGAGTACGGGCTTTAAAATACACAGAGGCCAGCTGTGATGGCTCATGCCTCTAATCCCAGCACTTTGGGAAGCTAAGTCAGGAGAATCACTTGAGGCGAGGAGTTTGAAATCAGCCTGGGCAACACAGCAAGACCCTGTCTCTACAAAAAATTAAAAAACTAAATTAATAATAATAACATACACACAACCCCTCCCAGCAATGGTATAAACATTTCATAGCTCTAAATCAATCTGTACTTCTCCCTCATTCTCCTCTGAACATGTACCTGATTTGGAATCTTGACACATCCAAAAGTTCTCTCCCTACGCCAATTATCCCATGCCTCTGGTTAAGGGTTTTCCCAGTTATTGGCTAAGAACAACTCCCATCTAATCTCATTCTCTGAAGCATGGACCCATGAGGCATGTGTTAGGATTCTCCAGAGAAACAGAACCAACAGAATGTAGCTATAAAGAGAAGAGACTTATTATTAGAAATTGGCCGCCTTGGCAACATAGTGAGACCCTGTCTCTACAAAAAAATTAAAAGTTAATAAGGCATAGTGGTACATGCCTGTAGTCCCACGTCCTTGGGAGACTAAGGTGTAAGGATCACTTGAGCCCAGGAGGTTGAGGCTGCAGTGAGCCATGAACACGTCACTGCATTCTAGTCTGAGCAACAGAGCAAAACCTTGAAAAAGAAAAGAACGAAGGAAGGAAGGGAGGGAGGAAGGGAGAAAGGGAAGGAAGAAAGGGACCTTAATCAATTTTTGCCTTTAGATAACTCCTTTTCCAGCTACCAGCCCCCACCAACATACACATACACTCTCCTCAGAAGAACTATGGTATAAATTCTATAAATCCACTAACAATAGGAAACTGGGCAACTATGCTATGTCCTGGCCAGATGAGCAACTCCTGAAGAAATTATCATTCTCCTTGCCAAGGCGTGGTCTCATTTTCTGCCCATATTCCACCAATACACAGCCTCACCCCTCTGACCTTTCCTTCACACTACTGGATCCACTACCTGGTCCTGACTCTGATCACCTCAAGCCCAAACTGCTGTGATTGCCTCTGAATGAGTCTCTCCATCTTCCTTTTCCCCAGTGTAACCTCCACACTGCCACCAGGTTATGGAATCTTAATGAACAAACAAAACCCATTCTTCCAGTTCTGAGTTCACAAAATTCTTTAATGATTCTTCATTGCCTATGAAATGCAATTCGGTCCAACAAATACTGTTTTAACATCTGCTGTGCACCAGGTCTGGGACCGCTACAGTGAAGAAGCTGTGGCCTTCCCATCAATGGACTCACTGCCTATCTCTAGGAAGAGGCAGACAAATACAGTCCTAGGCAAAAAAAGAAAAACTAAAAATCCCAAATCTTTTAATCAAGAGAGGCTGATATCCATTGCTTTTCCCTACTCAGTATCCATTTTCCCTTATCCTGGCAACAGCACGTGGTCTTCCATTGGGAAACATGGAATAAGTTGGATTCCCCAAAAGCAGACCTTTAGACAGATTCAAGTGTGAGTAGTTTATCTGGGAGGAAGTTCTGGGAAATACCAGTAGGGAAGTAGGAAAGTAAGATGAAGAAGGAAGTCAAGGCAGAGTGTGTCATCATTCAAGTGACTACACTGAGCAACTGGAACTTAATCCTACTGAGGAACTCTGAGAAACACTGTAGAACATGAGCCACAGAGTCATCTCACCCAAGACAAGAAAATTGGGGTATTTGGGCTGGGCATGGTGGCTCACGCCTGTAATCCCAGCACAGTGGGAGGCTGAGGTGGGTGGATCACCTGAGGTCAGGAATTCGAGACCAGCCTGACTAACATGGTGAAACCCTGTCTCTACTAAAAATAGAAAATTAGTTAGGCATGGTGGTGCATGCCTGTAATCCCAGCTACTCGGGTGGTTGAAGTAGGAGAATCACTTGAACCCAGGAGGTGGAAGCTGTGGTGAGCCAAGATCGCACTATTGCACTTCAGCCTGGGCAACAAGAGCAAAACTGTGTGAAAAGGAAGGAAGGAAGGAAGGAAGGAAGGAAGGAAGGAAGGAAGGAAG